CTAATGAAGCGATTCTTTATTCATCTGAAACAAGAAGGAACCATTACGCAAAGGAAGCAACTTTGTTAACCAATGGTGAAGGAGCAAACACTTCATAAAAAGCATGTTAAATACCACAAAGGAAAGTAGCTAGGATTCAGAAAGCACCTCTTTTTCATTCAAATGCATAATATTTTGATATTTACAAGTAGAACCAAACACTTTATTATAAATGACAGATACTGAAGAAAATGCAAGCTGACATTCTACTAAATATTTCAAACTTGAAGTTAAAATTTAAAAGAAAGTCTTTAGAAATCAAGAGTATATTTAAATTCTTTTATTAAATTCTACTGTCTTAGCCTCAAATTTCCAATTATGAAAATGAAGAGAGTACACTCAGATAAAATACCCGTCCTCTGCTAAAATCAGATAAGCACTGGCTTATTAAAGAAGTCTTTCATGATTTGAGGTCGCTTCTATTACAAAGTTTCTTTTTAAACTTCAAAACACAATTTTGAAGTAAATCTCTCCCTGCTTTCCATTCCTTAAAACACCAACAGCTTCTGTCTATGCTACGATCTCCATTACTCAGAAGGACGGCCTGAGCCCAGGAGTCCAGGCCAGCTTAGACAACACAGTGAAGAGACCCTGTCACCCCTCCCCATCCTTCAGGGAAAAGGAGGGAATCTGAGGCAGGAGAGGAGAAGCAATCCCAATACTCAGGAACAAAGCACGGGTTTGGGGCCAGCCTTGACCACAAAGCTAGACCCTACCTTCAAGGGGAGGGTAGGAGAGGGATGAGGGGGAGAAACCAGCCAACCTGGGCAGTGATGGCACATGCCTTTAATCCCCATCACTCAGGAAACAGAGGCAGGTGGATCTCTTTGAGTTCAAGGTTCACTGAGTGAGTTCCAGAATAGCCAGGGCTACACAGAGAAACTGTCTCAAAATACCAAAAAGGGGGGAGGGATCAAATCTTTATTTAAAGAGTTTATGTGACAATATTTTTTTATTTTTTAATAATAACATAAAAATAAAATTAATCTGAAATACAAGCAGTTTTAGACATGAATGGGTTCATATTTCATATTAGTTTGAAGGGATGCTTTTGGTAAAAAGACATTCTAGTAATTTTAATATTTTTTCGTAATCCATTCTCATTCGGCTACTGCTCACAAGGATTACAGCTGACTAAGTCAGATATCAACGAATTATTTGGTATTTTTAATCTATTGCCATCATATGTCTATTTACATAAAACTAATTTCAATTTGTGTTTCTTTTCAACTGCAATAACGTATACCACATATAATTCCATTTGTATCAGGAAGGGAACAGGATGATCAATAAACTGAAACAATAAACTGAAGATTGGTCTTTATATAAAAATTTTGGGAAGATTTTCACTACTGAAATCATCCTTTATCTGTTTCATGTCAGCTGGATTTTCTGAGGGAGTGGGCTTGTGCCAAACCACAACTTTTACCGTATATGCCTTCCCTTTGGAGGCTCTCTTCTATCAGAATTAGTGTATACGCTTTCTCTCCTCTGCTTATGTTAGGATTACCGTATATGCCTTCTCTCTGGAGGCTCCGCTAACATCAGAATTAAAAGGGGCCCCCTGCCTATCCACAGAAGGGAAAGTGTTTGCCTTCTGTCATGCACCTTCAGCCCTTTATGATGACCAAAGGACACAATATTGCAGATTTGATACATCCTTTCCCCTTTTAAAAGACAGCTAACCGGGGCTGGAAGTTAAGAGCATTGCCTGCTCTTCCAAAGGTCCTGAGTTCAATTCCCAGCAACCACATGGTGGTTCACAACCATCTGTAATGGGGTCTGGTGCCCTCTTCTGGCCTGCAGGCATACACACAGACAGAATATTGTATACATAATAAATAAATAAATATTAACCAAAAAAAAAAAGACTGCTAACCAAATCTTCTCCACCCCAGTACTAGAGACTGAACTAGGCTTTCCACACTTGGCAAGTGTTTCAGTACTGAGCTCCTGGCCCAGTCCTTCGTCATTCAAACATACACTGCTTAGACTGCATAAGACAAAGAGGAAAACAGAAAGATCTAAGAGGTGGCATCTGTAGTCTCCAAGGAGATTTATAAACGACTGACATGGAACAGGAAATGACTAGTGTCCTGGAAGCTAGAGTTCAGTAGAGATTATCCCCTGTAAATGGAGTTAGGAAAAAGGAATTTTCAGTGATAACTTTATATGCAAGGAAGGGGCAGAGCAAGACTCTTGGGAAAAGAAAACAAAGACAAAGACTGTAAGCAGGGGTTGGGAAAATGGTGCAGTTGGCAAAGAACATATTCCAAGGACCTGTGTTATCTCCAATACCCATGTAAAAGCTGGGATATCTGTAACCCCAGCCCTGGGGAAACAGACAGGAGACCCCTTGAACCTCTGGGCAGACAGCGTTGTCTAACGTAAATCCCAGAGATCCTGTCTCCAAACAACAAGGTTATGGCACGTAGACAATGACATCTGAACAACTATGGAATGACATGTAAGTGCACACACATGGATACACACAGGCAATAACAACTGTTAGCCTCAGAATACCTTATAACACCAACCATAAAGGAGTGGGGAGGGCTTCACAAAATTGGGTGTAGTGGCTCACACCTGTAATCCCAGCATTTGAGAGGATAAATCCTGGGCTCCTATTGACCAAGATCAAGGACAGCCTGCATATTTTAGCAAAACTTTGTCTCAAATTAATAAAAAATAAAAATAAAAAGAGACTGGGACAGAAATCAGTAGTGTTTGCTGAGCATGTGCAATCCTGAGCTAGGTTCAATCTGGGTAAGCTACTAGGGGAAGTGGAAGAAGAGCTGAAGTCAAAATGCTTAACAATCCAATATTCAAGTATTTTTACCTTTGAACATTATCATTCAGTCTAGCCATTGGAAACCTGATGTACAAGGAACTTCCTAAACAACATTGAGAAATGACACAATACCCCTACTCAGAGAAATCTGTTTCTTTCTAACAGTTAAAGTATGGGGGGAAAAAACTAATTCAAACCAAAGCTTCATGAACTCACATCAATCACCAATTCCTTTGGGGGATTTACATGTCAGTGTAATTTGCAGTGTGGTTCCCTGGCATTTTGTTCTCAAGCCTACAAATGCAGCTAATGTGACCCCTCCAGCTGCAGCTTCCTTCCTGCATTTCTGAAGCTCTGGGTATCTACACACTTACAGCTCTGTTCAACCGCACACAAAAGACTGGCGATTGGCCAAAAAGCTTCTGCCACTCCCGGGTGCATTCTCCACCAAGGTTCAAGATTTTCTAATTCAATTCGGCCATGAAATGATGCCTACTACCTTTGCATGCTACAGTAATGTAAAAGAAATTAAACTCCAATGTCAAGCTAACAAAAATGCAAAGCCAATAAAATATATAATAGATGTTCTTATAGAGGCCTATGAAAATAATTTCAACCCATTAAGCTGATCCTTGAAATTTCCTCAAAGATTTGCCATTTCCTCAGAATTTTACCAATAGCAAGAAAATCACCAGCAAGCTTTTTACAGCATACAGATCCAACTGTATTGACAAAGCTCCCTTTTGAGCATCCCATGCACACTGCTAACTGGAATCAAGAGTGAATGCTGTCAGCACCTTCACCACACTGGTTGATATGACCTATGACTGTGATGGGGAGATAAGACATTCAAGAATGACCTGAATTTCTGCTGTCACTAAAGCAGTGGTTATAAACACAGAATACATGATTCTATAAGCCAAGAAGCTGTGCCATTCTGATACATAAAAAGGGGCAGGGATTAGTGGAGGGCTAGGATATGACTTGGGTCTACCCCAAGTCTTCTATAAGGCCTGGCCAGGTTCAAGCATCAGCAGCAACCTGGCTAATGCTTAGTTGTGGTAGGAAGGAGTATTCCACACTGTCCTGGGTCTCAGAAAACACTATTACTGAATCTGCACCCATCTCTAAGCTTCTTCTCCCCACCGCTCTATCATTCAAGTACCAAAGAGTACTTGTTAAACCTTGAACAGACATGTTCAATAGTCAAATTTTAACTATGCTAAACCTGTAAAACATTAAAAGGCATGGAAAAGCACTAGTCTAATTTTCTTCCTTTTGCTGGACGTCTTCCTACAGTTAGTTACAGACAGCATGCCCTTCAACAGAAAGTGTGGGTCTCGGAGAAACCCCTGGAAACAAGTGTGGTGGTGACAGAAACTCAGCACTCAGGAGGCTGAGGGAAGAGCCAGCCTGGGTCACACAGCAAAATCCTGTCTCAAACCCCTCACCAAAAGCAAGTCAACAAACGAGGATATTTGGACTTTAAATATCCATTTCTGATCAATACTGCATTCATGTAACATTCAAGGAATATTTAGTAAATACAAATAAGACTAGAAGGGTCTTCTAAATGCCCCCCCCCAAAGTCAGCAACTCTGAGAATTGAAAGTAAAACAACTAAAAAACTGTTCATCATAATTTATGATCAGGTAAAAGAAACTGCTTCAGACACAAGTTAAAACTGCAAATTCCAGTTCCTCTGCATATACTGCATGGGAAGGAAATTGCTGAACATTACTTGCAGCCTGAATAACTCATTCCTAAGTAGCCACAAAAAACTGACATGACTTTACTACCATTTACATGAAATGCACATTATATTACAAGGATACAGCAAGGCTCCCAAATTATACTTTTTGGAGACAGGATCTAGCTTTGTAGCTCAGAATCTTGCTCAGCCTGAAGAATGCTAGGAATACTGGCATACACCACCTGGCATGGGTATCTCCAACCTCCTCTAAAAGTGTAAGATACTTTACAGGGGAAAACAGCCTGAAATGCTGAGTTGGTAACACTAAATTATTGACATTTATCTCTCAGGGAGTAGAAGAGAAGAGAACCACAATGAGATAAGGAAGACTATCAAAACAATCTTTCAAACAAAGAAACTTGACTTAGAAGAACACATTTGTTAAGACAATACCATCTCCAGAAAATATCAACTTACCAGTATGTGCTGTAGCTACTGCAATCCATACACACTGTATGCTGAGCTTTCTCTTGCTTTTCTGACCTCTTATGGTTGGGCAAGGTTATCTGTGCATCTTCATAATGTTTTTTTGCATGGCCGTTCACATACCTTACAAAGTCAAATGAAATTTTTATTTTAATTTAAATATTGCTTTTAAAAGTAGTAAAAGATGATGAAATTGTTAACCAAATTAAAATAAGAACTCTTGAAGAAATGAATCGTGGTGAATTATTTATTTAACTACTATTTGCATTACACTATTAACTTCTATGTTGATGCTTTCCCTCTAGCTTTTTCTTCTTCTTAAGATTTTTTTTAAAAAAAAAATCCTAACACCCAGCTTGAGTTATTATAAAAAAATAAGTAAATAAACTCTGTAGACAAAACTAATCAACCTCCTTTCACAGGGCCATATGCTGGAGTTGCACCTACAATGTGAAAGTCAGTAAGGCAGTTTCTGCTCTCCTGGATATGGGACCTTTCCTCTGAAGGCCTCATCAGTGATACTCATAGAAACACATTTGTTTAGAACAATCCAAACAAAACAACAAAAATCAACTTACGTTCAGAAAAACAAATTTCTCCATGTGAACAAACAGCCAACAGTTGGTTGTATTCCTACCAGTTTTATGGCTCTCTAGGAGTTTTGTTTGTGTTTGTTTCTTGATAACAGGGTTTCTCTGTGTACCCCTGGCTGCCCTAAAACTCATTCTGTAGATGAGGTTGGTCTCAAACTCACAGAAATCCATATTTCTCTGCCTCCCGAGTGCTGGGATTAAAGGTGTGCACCATCATCACTCAGTCAACTCAAGCTTAATAAACCATATTTTATTGTGTTTATTGATGGGGGAGGTTCCATGCCATGGTGCACAAGCAGAAACCAGAATATGATCCCTGAGAGAAGGTTCCCTTCTTACCAAGTGGATCTACCCAGGGGGGATCAGGCTTGGTGGCAAGTGCCTTTACCAACTAAGCCATCTCGCCAGCCCTCATAAATCATTGTATTACAGCAGAACTGTAACAAAGTAAACATCCATATGCATGCTGCACCCAAATGCATCTACAGTTTTCCTAGACTGTGGAATACTGTCCCTGACCTCTACTAGAAAACCCTTAGGACACAAAACATCCCAGTTCTTTGAAAACAACCAGTCTGCAGAAGACAGGAATTACTTAAAACCTCAAGTGGTGAAACAAATGTTGGATCACTGGCACCAAAATAAAAAGACTAAGCAAGCTGGCAGTTTTTACTGTAAGGTGCCACAGTTGCTCAGGGAGCTGCACTTACCTTGGGGTCGGAGAGTGGTAGTATGTAGTAGGCTCAAATACAGCCTTCTCTACATTCCAGGAAGGCTTATACCCTTAACCTCAATTCAGAATTCAATCATACTTTTTTTATACCTTTTCCCCCTAGACTTTAAAACCATAGATCCTCTGTCTCCAGAAGTAGATTTAGTTTTAAAGTAAAATAACAATTAAGGGTACATGATTAGAAACTAGCCTTTCAAAGTCAGGCCTTTCACACACTAGCCACAGAAGTCAGTAAGTAACCTTTCTGCACTTTGTTTTCTCACCTGTGCATGGAGGTTACAGTATATGTATCATATGGAGTATTGAGCAATTATATTAAATAATCCTGACTCAAAATGAGCGTGTGTGGTTACTTCATTAGCAGTTCCCTTATACATTTAACTACTGTTTACTCAGAATAATAAACCAATAACTTAGAGATTGGGCCCATGAAGCACTCCTGATAGCAGTGTGTTGCACGCTAGGAGCACTTGCTGTTTAACTGAAAAGGTAAACTCTGCTTGTGTGAGCTCAGTAACCTCCTTCATACGCTATCTTTCTAGCGCACACCATGAAGAACAGGAATGAAGAATGCTTTCACAACAACAATGAATGGCATAAGCACTACAGGGCTTTGGAAACTGATCCTCTCTACACAGTACACACAGAGATGATCTTCGGTTATAATACTGCGGTTTCCAAATGTCCTCTATATTTAAACTGTTCCTGTGTGACTGAAAATAAAGGAGACTGACATCTGTGCATGAAGATATCACAGTGAAGCCCGATATACTAACTAGAAATTTTGATAAAAGAAGTAAAATTAAATGTCCCTATATAGGTCAGTGATAAAAGTATAATTATTGAGGGATGACATTAAAATTAGCAATGTTTTGGCAATTTCTGAAACACACTAGTCAGAAGTTAACAGTATAAAGCTAGATTACATAAAAATAAGTACTTCCAAGGTGGGTGGTGGTGGCGCACACCTTTAATCCCAGCACTTGGAAGGCAGAGGCAGGTGGATCTCTGTGAGTTCGAGGCTACAGAGCGAGTTCCAGGACAGCCAGGACTACACACAGAGAAACCCTGTATCCAAAACTCAAAAAAAAAAAAAAATCTAAACTTGAAATTGCCTTTGATTACAAATAATCCACAATGCAGAGTCTAGAAAATTTCAACTTACTTTTCCAAAGTCCAGAGAACTGTTTGTTGCTTTCTATTTGTCAAGAACATTAATCTTTCCCTTTTTTTCCCCTCAAAATATCCTGCTCTTTCCACTGGCATACGACCGTCCACATGTAGACAGGGCACACTCTGCTCCATCTAGAGGAGTCGTATCTACTGTATTATCGTCCTCACCTCTCAGAGCTAGGAGAGGAGTACACCTCTTCAGTTCAGAACCTAAGTGCTTCTACTTATCTTTTAAAAAAAATTATCTGTACAAAGCATTTTCAGACTTCCCAGATCCTGGAGATTTTGAAACCACAGCAGTCACAATTAAGATACACAGCATTTTTCCAAAGGTACTCATAAGTGTTCATGGGAAAGATACAATTCCAGCACTCAATGAGAAAAATCAAGATATTTGAACAACAAAAATGTTTTCTTCATGCAATGAGGATTTAAAGTAACAATAGGGAAATATCCCAAATAAATACAACTTAAATCCCTATGATTTAGCTGATTGCAACTACTGAAAGATATTCAAAGTAGACCTTCCCCCTCCCCACGCACACCTTTTTCTCTCTTTCTTGGGAGGGGTGGTTAGTTGGATTTTGTTTGCTTTATTTTTTGGAAGATTTCTTTTTGTTTGTTTGTTTGGTTTTGGTTTTGGTTTTTCAAGACAGGGTTTCTTTTGGTAGTCCTGGCTGTCCTGGAACTAGCTCTGTAGACCAGGCTGGTCTCAAACTCAGAGATCAGCCTGCCTCTGCCTCCCAAATGCTGGGATTAAAGGTGTGCGCCACCACTGTCAGGCTCAAAAATCTCACCCTTTACTTTAGACTGTCTTAGAACTCACAGCAGTCCTCCTCCCATGTTGTTAGAATTACAGGCATGAGCTGTCATGCCCGCCTCTCAGACCAGATGATTTCTAAAGCTAATGGCAGGAGAAATGTCCTTGTGTTACAGTTAGAAATAGTTATTGAAATATCTAAGTAATGGCATTTTGTTTGCTTTTTTGAGACAGGGTTTCTCTGTAGCTTTGGAGCCTGTCCTGAAACTAGCCCTTGTAGCCCAGGCTGGCCTCGAACTCACAGAGATCCACCTGAGTAATGGCATTTTGAAGCCAACAATTGGAAAGACATACTTAGGACTGAAATGGGAGCTACTGAATCTACATGAAAGCAAAATGTTATTTCAGTTTGGTTTGATTTGTAAGCAGGGTCTTATGGAACTAAGGATAGCCTATAATACAGACTGATCATGACCAAGGATAATCTTAAGACTTTTGATCCTCCTGCCTCTACCTCATGAGAGCTGGAGCACAGAAATAACTACCACACTAAGTGTTGTGCAGTGCTGAGAACAGAACCCAGGGTTTCATTCATACCAACAAAGTGCTCTACTAACTGAGTCACATCCCGTCTCAGAGGCAAACTATTTAAGTGAAATATTTGGTATAACTCAGGCAGGAGTAAGTAATACACAGGCCACTTCCAAAGGTAATTCCATCATCTGTAAATATTTCATTCTTCTTAGGATTTTCTTCCCCAGAAAAATCTATCTGGAATTTGATTCAAGTAAATAAAGAAAGTAGACAGGGCAGATAACAAGTGGAACAAGACTGGCTTCATGCTGATTACGCTGACCTAATGAAAACACGGGAATCAAGTAACTACTTTGAAGTGGGCTTAAATCTTACCCTACTAACAAGATTTTAAAAAAATCATTTGCTAAACTTTTGCCTCAAGATTTAAGTGTCCTTATTTGATTTTCTCAAACAAACATTACTAGTAGGTTGTCTAAATCACCAAATATTAATTCTGCATGAAAGCATAAAATCCTCCTAGATTTTCCCTTTCTGTATCAGATAACAAAGTGTTCAACCTGAGAGCACCACAAAATGGCATGCTATGATTGACAAAAGTATTAAATACACTTTAATATAAAGCTTTCAGGCAAATTTTTAAGGCAAGTAGGGTAATAAATAATAAATATGTTACGTACCTTCCACAGTGGACACTTGAACAAGTCAAGCAGACCCAAGGGCTTTTGTTGGACCTGCACACTAATAAAAAGAAAAACACAACACAGCATTTGGATTGTGTTATTTCCCATTGTTTCCCAATTCCTAGTGGTATCCTGTGATTATAAATGACACCGCTGCGCAGGTGTTTTGAGGTCAGGAATCACACCTGAGGAGTGAGCTTACACAGATGACTGTCTACCTAAAATTGTATCAAAAAGAATTTAAATGAACACCCATGATGTTGTACATTTTAACTGATTCAACTAAAATGGCCTAGCCACAAATTGAACATACGTACACATGTTCCCTTTATTACTTATTCTCTTTTGCAGTATCACAAAAGGTTAATAGGCTGGTTTCCCATTAAAAGCATCTGGTACTTTTTTTCTTTTTAAGTCTCTTTTAATCACATATCTTTGCCATTTAGAACATATACAGCTATAAATAGCAACTCTTCCTTTATTTAGTTAAGAGGAATAACCTTAAGTCACAGTTAAGACTAATCCTAGTTCTCTAAAAGTATTTTGCAGAAAGCATGACAAAAGAAATGTTCTTGATGATGGTGTATGTAAGACAATTATTTTCATTGAAGTGTTACAGCTATGAAGTTAGAATTTTAAATTTAAAGTTTAAGTTTAAAAGTGTTACAGGTTTTTTTTTTTTTTTTTTTTTTTTTTTTTTTTTTTTTTGGTTTTTTCGAGACAGGGTTTCTCTGTGGTTTTTGGAGCCTGTCCTGGAACTAGCTCTGTAAACCAGGCTGGTCTCGAACTCACAGAGATCCGCCTGCCTCTGCCTCCCGAGTGCTGGGATTAAAGGCGTGCGCCACCACCGCCCGGCTAAAAGTGTTACAGTTTTGAAGTGTTGATTATACTTTTTTGATGGGCTGTTATGATTCAGCAATAGGACATTTGCCTAACATGCTGAGTCCTGTGTTTGATTCCCAGCAACTCATTCCAAAAACATGTTTTTCATTTCCTCATTCAATTACCCAAAAGTCCAACATGTAGTAATAAAAATTTAACTCTCAATCACTTTAAGAATGGAACAGGTCATAACATGAAAGCTTACTTCATGTTAAGATCTTACCAGTTGGACAGTGGTGGTGCACGCCTTTAATTCCAATACTCAAAGCCCGAGGCAGGCAGATCTCTGTGAGTTTGAGGACAGCCTGGTTTACAAATCAAGTTCCAGGACAGTCAGGGCTACACAGAGAGACCCTGTCTCATAAAGAAAAAATTCATAAAGGTGAGCCCTAGATACTTAGATTGCAGTTTTGGCTCTCCCATCATGACCAGAGATGAGGAGAACACCATGAATGTCTTCACTGTGAGATGGAGAGCAGAGAGTAACTAACATTTGTAAAGTGGGCTAGAACTAGGGGAAATGCACTCACATCACCTCCTTCATAATTAAACCTTCCAATTTTACTTTCTACCTCATCTTCTTAAAAGGCTTACACAAGGACTGGAGAGATGGCTCAGCAGGTAAGAGTACCCACTGCTCCTGCAGAGGACTCAGTTCCCAGCACCCACATGGCATCTCATAGTGATCTGTAACTAGTTTTAGGGGATCCAACACTCTCTTCTGGCTTCCAAGAGCACCAGGCATGCATATGGGTGCACAACAAACATATTACATAAACATAAATAAACCTTTTCTGATGATTTTCTTATTTATTAAAATAATACAAATATTTTATACAGCATGAAAACACAAAATTTCATAAAGCAATAGTTGTATTTGTTTCATGGGTCTGCCAACCTCTTTTTAAAAGAGAAATTATTGTTAACCTAATGTCCTATTGCTGAATCATAACAGCCCATCAAAAAAAAGTATAATCAACACTTCAAAACTGTAACACTGCCGGGCGGTGGTGGCGCACGCCTTTAATCCCAGCACTCGGGAGGCAGAGGCAGGCGGATCTCTGTGAGTTCGAGGCCAGCCTGGTCTACAAGAGCTAGTTCCAGGACAGGAACCAAAAGCTACGGAGAAACCCTGACTCGAAAAATCAAAAAAAAAAAAAAAAAAACTGTAACACTTTTAAACTTAAACTTTAAATTTAACCAAAGAATAAGTGCTACTATAGTATCATTTTTGAAGCCCAATGATTTTCAGATGTTTTTCCTACCTTCCATCATCTGAGGCAAGCATTCTACCTCACTGCCTATAAGTAACAGCACCTCACTACAGCAGGAGGGCTGTGGAGGGGGTGAGAAGTACTTAAAATCGCTATTCAAACTACCACAAACACTGATGCAACTGGGAAACACAGAGCTTTACCCCCATACACAATCTTAAACCTGAAACATTCTAAAAATTTTAGTAACCCTAACAATACCCTTCTTCAAAATAAAGTTCATTTATAGTGATCTAATGCTTCTATAGCACCCACTGTTATTATGGTGCAAGAAACTATTACAACTTTCATGACTATCACCTCATTTAACCCTTTACAATCCCAGAAGGTAGGAACTATACTCAAAAAAGAGGCATGAGGAAGTTACACATTTTGTTAATTTGTGGAGCTAGCAGGAACTCGGGTTCATACGGTACTGAGAAGTAGGTCTAAAACATGCTATTTTTCCATGTCTTGCTACTTAGTTATTCACTCATGCTGGCCCCAAATTCTCAATCCTCTTGACTCATCTTCCAAAGTATCTGACTTATAGGCTTAAGTCACCACAGTAGGAAAGCCATGTTTTTGGGTTGCTGACCCTTATTTTGTGTTTGTAGACAGTATCTCATTGTGCTGTCCAAATTAGTCTAGAACCCCTCCCTGGGCTTATTCTCCTGCTCAGCCTCCAGAGTAGCTGGAACTGTGCCAAAGTATCACATCATTTGGCTTCACTTCTGTTTTTAAAAGACACCTTAACTATATGGGGCTTAACTTCTGGGGCTGGGGAGATGGCTCAGTGGTTAAGAGAGCACTGGCTGTTTGTTCTTCCAGAGGTCCCAAGTTCTATCCCCAGCACCCACATGGTTGCTCATAACTCTCTGTAACTTCCCATTTCCTGCTGAAAAACACCAATGCACATAAAATAAAAATAATTTTAAAGGCTACATGCTTCTGTGTCTGCACCTGCAAAGAAATCATTTTAAAGTCTGGACAGACAGACAGTAATGTTAGAAACAGTTATATAATATAGGCAGTGGCACACGCCTTTCATCCCATCATTGGGGAAGCAGAGGCAGATGGATCTCTGTGCTTGAGACCAGTCTAGTCTACAGAGGGAGCTCAAGAATAGCTAAGGCTATACAAAAAACCCTGTCTCAAAAAACCCCATCCCCCCCAAAAAAAACAGTGTGGGGAATAGAGACATAGGAACCTGCTCTCACTCTCAACTATACTGTCTGCAGTATTTCAAAATTACATTTCTTCTCTCATAAATTTAATGTTCTAAATTTAAAAATATTGACACTCTAAATTTACACTAGCAGACATAATTTTTAAACATTAGTAGTAAATAAAAACCTGAATATTTTAACTATGGATTTGTGAAAATATAATCAAAGTATTTAATATTGAAGCATGTGCACACATTCCATATAAAATCCAAAGTAAAAGTACTGTCCTCTTAAAATTTAAGGATAAGGAGCATCATTCATTGATGTGGGAGGGTCTTCTGTTTTGTGTTGATTTCATTGGTTAATAAAGAAACTGCCTTGGCCCTTTGATAGGACAGAAAATTAGGTAGGCGGAGTAAACAGAACAGAATGCTGGGAGGAAGTGAGGCAATCGCCATGCCTCTCCTCTCTGGAGAGAGGCGATGAAGCTCTGACCCAAGATGGACTGTAGGCCAGAATCTTCCCGGTAAGCCACTACCTCGTCATGCTACACACATTAATAGAAATGGGTTAATCAAGATGTAAGAATTAGCCGATAAGAAGCTAGAACTAACAGGCCAGGCAGTGTTTAAAAGAATACAATTTGTGTGTTGTTATTTCGGGTGTAAAGCTAGCTGGGTGGCGGGACGCAGCCTGCAGCGCCTCACTACAATTCATCATAAAGGGTCGATAAATATAAGTAGAATTATGATGCAGACTAACCCACTTTCCTGGAAATTAAAAGCCAGGCATGTAATGCTCTATAGCTATTACGTTTCCAGAGAACAAAACATGAAGTTCTTAGAGCACCAGGAGGCAGCCAGGGCCAGAATAGTGAGCCAGGGAGGACTGGAGAGGACTGAGTGGAGACCAATCCAGGGAGAAGAACAAGCACACAGATATGCCAGGCAAAAATTCAAGGGAAGACTGCAGAACCAAGCACTCAGGGCCAAGGCGAGAAAGACAGGAAGCACTGCTCAGTCTTCTCCTTGAAAACCTTCCCCATGCTTCTCCTTTTACCTTTGTCCTTTTCTTCTTCCGGGCTGGCAATCAGTCTCTCTTGAATTATTAGATAAGTAAATTACCCATTAGTAAAGTCGCTTAAGCATTTGTTATAACAGTTTTCCCTTTCTGATTAATTATTCTGTAGTTGTTCCCATTAAGAGTTCTCGCCTTTCATTCCCTGATTCTGGGACTGCCCTGGGCACCTAAAAATGACAAAGTGATTCCATGCAAATCCAGTCTTAAGAAATTCATCACTTCCCCTTGCTATTGTTTGGAATGCTAGCTCAAGAGGAGACTGGCCACCATGTGAGAAGTCTTACTACTGAAAGAGACATACTGTAAGCCTACACTGAAGGAGTCAGAGGAAATGACATTATGGGAGCACAGAGGAGCAATCATTTTCCCAGAAACACGTCAGTTAAGATGTTCTGACTTCAGATACTCTGCCTGATGAAAACCTAGACAAGTGTCTTCTGACTCATGACTGTAAGCAAAGCACACAGCTTTTTAGAATTACAAGGATACAGTGATGGATGACCACCCAGCAAGCAGTATCTTCCATTTGCCAATCAGGTCAACAGCATTACTGGCACTATTAGTTAAGTGAGAAAGGGAGCTTTAAGGAATTCCACCAACAGGAATTGAAGCTGTCCAACAAAGGCATGAGAAGGAAGTGAAGGTTAAGGCATTGCAGTCTATCTTGAACTAAC